AGACCATTACAGCATGTTGGATTGAGTAACAGAAAGAGCTTTTTAATTTGGTTCGTAAAAGTGAACTGCAGCATTTTAAAAATAAATACAAAAATGGTTTAAATCCTAACTCTTTTAACAGTGGATATGTGCAGACTTTAAAATTATGAATACATTTTAATACAAAGTACTTGAAAATCATTTCATCTTTAACATACAGCTCAGGACCTGAGTTCAAGGTTCTGTGTTTCTCCTGTGAGAGCTGATTATGGAGCATATTGTGCATTTTTATATGAGATTTCTTTTTCTTCCTGTAATGAAAACAGCGAAACCTTGAGGTTTTTTTTGCTAACAAGCTGCTGTGCATTATTTTCCCCGCTCTGCATACAGACACAGGAAAGGGTTCTGTGCAGGCTGGTCCAACAGTCAACTTCCTGTCCTGAAAAGTACTATCACTAAAACTGTCTTTACAAGGCATCCAAAGTGCCACAGGACAGGTGTAAAAGCAGCATAGCTTCATTAGTTTCAGGAGTGCTACACCAATGTCAACAGACTCCTCTGATTTATACCAGCTCAGAATATAACTCCAATGTACAAATGACTGTAATATAGATGGTCTTACACACACTGAAGAGGAGCCTAGTGCTTCATTCCAGCATGAGGTGTTTGTAAATGGAATCAGCACTCACAAGGTGAGACATGGAATCCTGAACTCAGTTCTTAACAGTTACTAAAGCTTGCAACATAGTCGTTACATATATTTATAATTTTAAGGCAACACATGAATTCTGCAAATTACTTAAAATCGTAAAAATGGATTTTTTTAAATTCCTTCATTAAAAAAAAGAATTTAAGAATTTCAACTCAATAGGAAACTACTGTATCACTTTTACCTCTCTGTCCAGCCAAACACAATCAGAGCATCAGAGCATCGCTTGTATTACTACTTACTTGAATTCCTCCTAGAGAGAGTAAAAATACCTATCCACTTTGAATGGAAGCAACAGGCCCCCTTTCCATTCTTAGTTACACTGGCATAAACCCAGAGCAAAACAAGTAACTTACTCTGGATGTGTACTGCTGTGACCAAGTTATAGGTGATGGCCCAGTGTTTCCACAATGTTCTGAAACAATCTGTGAACTGAGATTTGTCTGCTCTTGGCATGTTAAGTGACATGTAAAAAAGTCACAAAATCTTGTAAAAGTTTTTCAGGTAAGTATGTATGTAGGGATGTATAGAAGGTACTTTATTGATTTAAAGGTTTACAGCCATACAGTACTGTTACCAGCTATTCTGTAAATATATATTTAGGGGGTCCAATTCAGTACTCTAGGGGAAACAGAAGAGGTACTCCACTGCTTAGTGGTCCAACTATGCAATGGAATAAAACCGAGCCACATCTTACATTCTGGAACAGCCATGCTAGTAAGAACACAGCTGAGATCCTGATGTGGAAATGGTTGGAGGCTGCTGTGGGAGAAGCCAGCCACTGATGAGAGTTAATTCCTTTGCACATGAGGCATATTCTACCAAAGATGTAGGGCGTGCTGTTTCAGTGCTTGGAAAATTCCTTTGTGAACAGGTGCAGAGCAGTGCACAGATATGGCACAAAGTGGGTGTCCCTAATAATGGTATGGGGGTTAATCTGTTTGCTGATTACACCGCCCATCAGAGCCTGATCAATGATGACCATACAGGAGAGGGAGGTCTGCATACCATTATTCAATGTATTATCCTGCCTGTATTTTCACCAGCTGCATTTGCTCAAAGTTGGACATAAAGGGTACGTCTTACGCTACAGGCTTTTGTTGCCAGAGGCTTTGTCAACAGATACTGTCAACAAAGCTTCTGTCGAAAAAGAGCATCTAGACTGCATCCAGTTCTGTCGACAAAGCAAGCCGCTTTGTCGACATGAGAGTGTAGATGCAAATGACAGTGTAGATGTAATAACTCCTTCTGTCGACAGAACTCTGTCAACAAAAGGTGTTATTCCTTGTAGAATGAGGTTTGTTGCTGTCGACAAAACTGCCGAGTTCTGTCGACGTTATGTAATGCAGACGCAAGTAAGGTATAGTTTTGTCGACAAAAGTCCACTTTTGTTGACAAAACCCTGTAGTCTAGACGCACCCAAAGTTTGGATTTCAGGAGAAGGGCCATGCCTATTGATTAATCTCCTTGCCAAAGTCCCCCCAGGAAAGAATGGAGGGATCCCAGCAGGGACTGCTATTGTGCAAAGTGTACTTCTAACAGTTCTGAGCTAACTCAGCTGCAACACAGACGCTGCAACTAGTTTAGAATGTGGACAATAGGCTTGAAATGTTGACATTTTTGCCATTGAAACAACTCAGCCTTGTCCTTACACTAGGCCTGTGCTAACAGCATCTACAGGACCAGACTAAATGCAAAGAATGCAGAATCCACATGCATTCTGGCAGAATTTATCAGGAAGCACAGCATATTTGGCCTGCTTCTGTGGCTGCACAGATGCCATTACTTTGTACCCAATGGGGCCATCAGAGAGTGTGTAACATGGAATATTGATCCTGGAAACTGTAACACCTCAGAAGCAGTAACAGTCTGTGATATCAATCTCTACTGATACGTTACCCTCCACAGATCACGAATAGTCGATTGACATGTCTCCATTAATACAATGATGTGCACAGATGCTCATGCCCTCTGCAACTACTAGTCTAGAGTCCTTTACAAAAGTTGTGTTACAAAAGTGACTGTGCTTGTGCTATAACCACTTTCCCAAACAACATACCATTAATATTTTTTAATGACCCAAAGAGGCAACTATTTTATCTATATTGCAGTTTCATGCGCAAAATAGTCACCTGGCCAAATTTTGACATTCAGCTTGGAAAAATAAATAAAAACGCAAATAACAATAATTAATAAATACAAATAAATTACTTTCTCACCTGACCTGAGACCCAGCATGGTAAACTTCTACCAGGTATACATTTTAGGATGTTTTTTAATGAGACTAAAATGATGGCACAGCTGTCCTGCAACAGCAGGTCTTAATCAATAAAGGTATCACATCAGCACTAGGCCTGATCCTATAACCCTTACTCATAAGTGGTCATCACAGAATTTACTGAATTCAGTGGTATAATCCATGGTCCCAACTTAGGAACATACATACACATGTATGTAAGTCCCTAATAGTCATATTCAAGTAAAACAGAGCACTCACATGCACAAAGTATTTAAACACTTTATGAAATTCAGCAAGATTTGAGCACATGCTTAAAATAAGCATGTGGCTAACAGCTTTCCAGAATAGGGCTGCTTCCAAAAATAAGGGCTAACCATCACAAAGATCAGTCAATTACCACAGGTCTTGTAGGCTTTTTTTTTTTTTAACTTTTCTTGGAGCTTACAGTATCACTATAGTGAAATTATTATTCTACCTGGAAACAGTTAGCTTTTTGGACAAACAATGACAAATTAAAGTGTGTTACAATCATCCCCCCACCCCCCTCTCCCAACCTCGAAAATACATATTTTAACAGCAGAAATACAACACAGTAGGCAGTATTCAATGGTATGCAAATGATAAATTAGACAGTTAGGGGACCCCCCCCCACACACACTTCAGCATTAATAAACATTCACACTAGCTCTACATTAATTATGGTGCTGCATTAATTATGCTTTGAATTTTTAGTTTTCTTTGAAATGTATGCCATCTTTAGATGGATAACTTCTTGTGTGTATGTGGGTTTTGATTTCCTTTTTAATCTCAACAGTCTATTTTATGCAGTGGATATGGTACTACGTCATACCAGCTGTGTGGTTCTTGTTAGCATTAAAAATTAAAGAGCAAACAAAATCTAAACCTCCAATGTTTCTGATGTCAGTTCTCACCCACCTTCCCTCCCCCTCCCCCATTTTTTTGGCTAGTTATAATGTTAGCCACTTTTTTAAAAGATGGTGTGTAATGTATAGAAACAACAGGCTGGGTTCTCCACATTGTAGCAACATATGCTCAAGAGGGCCTTTTCCAAATGGCGTGGAAGCTAGTCAAAGCCATTGTTGATTGATAAGCCCTTGACGGTGGGTTACTTAAAAAAAAAGTGTTTTTACTCTATTAAAAATATATATAAGATAGTCTTGCAGGCAGGCAGGAGGAGCCTGTTGGATGCTGCCTTTGGACGGTGATGTCTGAAATTATTGTCAGAACGCATCACAAAACTAGCAAGAGAACGGACCACATTCAGATGTCATATACACGGTGCACATTCCCCCTGTGCTTCACATTCTCTCAGAACTTAAGCGGCCTCGAGCTTCCATCCGAAAATTGCCACACGTCACGAGTTCCCTGGGCACTACGCCAAGTGGGGGTGTGTGTCGAACCTAGAGAAAGGATGGGGACAGAGGAAAAATAGGTGTAACACAGCCCAACAGGTAAATTCTTCCCCCTTTTTTTAAACTTTTTTTTTTAAACAAACTGCAACTTGAATTACCAAGAGTATGTAATGCAACAGACCCCAGGTTTATGATCTTAGTACTTCTGCCGTCCCACCAAAAACTCACAAATTCCCATATAGCACATGCACAGAAATATTTCAAGCATAGTGAAAATACACACAGCGTAATTAACACTCCAAGGGGCAAATCCTCCAGTTTTCACTAAGACTTAACCCAGTGAAAACACTGAATGACTCCAGTATTCCTCCCCCCACCCAACAATCCTGGGTCAGCAGCAAGAGCACAGCAAATATTTTTGAAATACCACAAACTGTACAGTTTGAAGAGACTGAATTCGATTGCATTACAATAACGGTGCGACTTATAGGGTGTACTGTACCTGGTGAAGATGTGAAATAAATGCTTGAGCCCTACAGGCCTGATACAATGTTCACTGAAGTAAGTGGAAAGTGTTCCATCAACTTCATTGGCATTGGGTCAGACCCTAGCTACACAA